ATCTAACGACATGTAATTATAAATTGCTGATTAATAGACTATATTTACATTTCATTTTCATTTAATGATGTTTGAGAATTATCCCACATCGAAAGATGGGTATTCAAATTTGGTATATAAATACCTATGCAATATGAATTATAAAATGTGTATAAAAATATTAGGGCAACCTCGCATGTGCGTTTGACACACGTGTGCGCGTGTGAGTGTGCATGCGGCATGCTCGTACGTGCGCTCAGACACACGTGTGCGCGTGTGAATGTGCGTGCAACACGCTTGCACGTGCGCTCGGACACACGTGTGAGCGTGTGAGTGTGCGAGGGGCACGCTCACACGTGCGCTCGGACACACGTGTGCGCGTGTGAGTGTGCGTGGGGCACTGCGCTCAAACACACGTGTGCACGTGTGAGTGTGCGAGGGGACACGCTCGCACGTGCGTGTCATGTGTTACGTGTGTGAGTGTGCGTGGGGCACGCTCGCACGTGCGTATCATGTGTTACGTGTGTGAGTGTGCGTGGGGCATGCTTGCACATGTGCTCAGACACACGTGTGCACGTGTGAGTGTGCGTGGGGCACACTCGCACGTGTGCTCGGACACACGTGTGCGCGTGTGAGTGTGTGTGGGGCACGCTCGCACGTGTGTGTCATGTGTTACGTTTGTGAACCGGGCTGAACCAGATAGGAACCGGTGGTTCCACTATAAAACCGGGCTGAACCGGATGGGAACCAGCGGTTCCACTCTAGAACAGGGTTGAACCGGATGGGAACCGACGGTTCCACTCTAGAACCGGGCTGAACCGGATGGGAACCGGCGGTTCCACTCTAGAACCGGGCGGTTCCCGGTTTTCGGTTGGAATCAGCACGGGCACACGTATTCCGAGTCGAACCGAGCGAGTCCAGTTCGACTCGCCGTTTTTTAAAACACTGCTATATACACTTATTGAGCTCCTTTGACACATGTCTTGGACTTCAATATTGAGGTTGTGTTTCAAGCAGCATTCATTAACTACTTTCATGAAACAACCATTGTATTCTACGTAGTATCGGTATCGAAATAAGCAGGGTTGAGAAAATACCCTGCGACATATTAGCAGCCTCTCCCGCTTTTGATCTCACTTATCTTCAACAATTTAAAAAAGAAAAAACATTTCTCTTTTCTTCATCGTAAAGTTCCTCTTTGATCTTTTCCTTTACAACCTCAATTTCCTATCAAATATGTCTTACTGCTTGTTTCTTCTCACAATCCACACGGTGTAATACTTTCCTAAGTGATGCAAACAGCATGAAGACTGCTGCAAACCCCATTTCAAAATTGGGGTTGTAAAATAAGGTTCTACACTCTTTTCAACTTTGTATCCTCGAACCACTTGCTTTGGGTCCAATTTGAAGAGAAGCATGCTCCTAAAGCCATCTTTGTAGTCCAAAATAGATCTTAATGACAAGAATGCACTCGCAAACCTTGTAACCCTTGGCCCAACTAAATCTTTATTTTTTGTGTAATTCAGTATCATGGCCAAGAGATAGGTGTGGCTATATATGAAAACTGTGATGGTCTTGCTTTCTTCAAACCCCCTCCACTTTCTCATCACACCAATTGCCTAGCAACTATCATGTCAGCCTTTGCCATGTCAATAACTACCTGGACCACATGTGCCTCCCCCACCTCCACAACACACTCATTTACTCATTCAAAAAGGAACTTTACATCATGAATCTTATCAAATGTGTTAATGGACCTCGAGAATATTTTATCCATTGGACAATTCCCCATTTAGTTCATTATACTCCTAGTCCTCTAATCAGTCCATGTATCATCATTATTGACCCACTCTTCGCACATGTATCCCTGTACGTATTCAAGTTTCATTTGTAAGCCCAATCTCTTTTCTCAATAAGGCTCCTTAAGTTCATAAGCTGTAGGGGCCTTATACCCTTGCCCATACTGCAAACTCTCAATGGTAGTCTGGCCCCTTTCTTGAACTTGCACCTCAGGATGGAACGGACTAAAAATCTATAGTGCCCTTTGATTGCGGTCTCTTTTACCCAAACCCCCATGGCCACGTGCTAGAGCCCTCTTCCTAAGCAACATAAACATCATCAGCTTCTTCTACTCCAAGTATATCCATAGATCTCATAATATTACTATAACTTTTCGTTGCCACTTCTATCTTCTTTTGGTCCACTTGTAAATGCTTAAACATCTCTTTACTAATCTTAGCAGGCACCTGAGTGCATCACGCTGCTGTTAGAATGCAATGAAGGGAGGTTCTATAAAGTAATTAACTGTGAGGTCATTAATAATGTAAAGTTACAGTTAATAACTTTACAGTTATTTCAAGTAGTTTATGTACTGTAAAGTCATTAACTGTTAAAGTATAAGGTCAAATCTCTCCTTACTCAAGATGTAATGTTATATCTATTATATATTAGGGAAAAAAAATGTACAAGGTCAAATCCCCTATTTTTAGCTTTCATTTCTCGATAAACCCAAGGTTTCAAAGATATCTTCTAATCCTCTGGCCACTTTCAACCTATTTTTTAACCTAAACAAATATGAGAAAGACATGCTATTTCTAAACCCAATATTTTCTCTCTTCACTTATATACCCCAAACTTCTCTCTTTCTCTCTCGTCCTGTATCTCT